TTTTTGATACACAAGACTACAGAATACTATTATACAGTGAATCCAAATTAAAAATATATATTTACTATATGTAAAAGCATTAAATAAAATATTGAAAAATAACTTCCTATTTCTATAGCTCAAGCCCATCAAGTTACCTATTTTGCAGGTGTCTCCTTCTTCATTACTATGTTTATTGTGAGATTTAATCCATCAGATAACTAACATGGCCTGTAAATATACATGCAAATTTCCAATGGATATGAAGCAAAAAGTTGACAAATAATACTACTATGTAACTTTCTAAAAAAGAACTAGAGAGCCTGGAGGTTACTATCTTAATCATTTATTTTTTTCTGTAAAGACTTTTCATTTGTATTTATATATAAATATATATATATATAAACATGTACATAAATGCACTTGGAAGAGAAACAAAAGTGTATTTATGAAAAATTTTGACTGGGAGCACATTGTAACTGTTTTGGGACTGTCTTGCTTTAAAGATGGTCAATACCCACTGTTCTATTATTCCTATGATTGAAGCTATACTACATAGCCACTTTACATCTAATGAAAATTAAACTTCTTATCTCTTCCATGAAGTAACAAGCTTCTCATCAAACATAACTTTTATTTCATTTTTCACAAAGGAGTTTGGTCACTAGAAATTTACCACACTGCAGGCAACTGTAAATACATCTTCAAGGCTGGCATATGCCACAATTTAGGAGATAAAGCCAAATCTTGTGGTATTCTCATCAGATTTGAGAAATGGAAGTGTTTGGCCAACATCCAAGTATGAATGAATATATATACAATAGGCACAGAGCATAGGATGATATACACACGCAGATGATATCTGCATGCCATGCAAGGGAGTAGTACACAATTTGAAAGTAGTCTTCCACAGTTTTCATCTAAAATCCTTAAAAATGGAGAGTCAATGGAACACCCCTTATTAAGCAACTTCCATGGAAAAGTGGATAAATGGCATAAGTAGGAAAAGTAGTGGAGAAAGGATATATAACCTAGATGTGGATCTTGCTTCTTACCGTACTAGTCACACTGAGTGAACCTTCATCCATGAGGCAGGATTGAGTTCCACATCTATAAAGTGATGGAACAGAATCTGATAATCTTTAAGACTTAGATATTCTCTGCCTTTACATTTAATTTAAATATCAACTCCACTTTAAAGAGAAAACACAGAACATTTCTCACATGCTATGTTAGATGTTTATCTATATGTAAGAGACAGGTGTCAAACAAACAAATAAAAAAAAAAAAGCCACTAAGGCAAAGAGAAACTTTAACTCACCAGATTCCATCTGTTACATTTGAATTCATGCATAATTGATTATCCATGACTGGTGAGTTCTTTTCTCACTAGCCGACCAGTTTTCTAAGCATTATGTATTAAATCACTACTAAAGTAGACTGTATTTCAGAAACAGCAAGGGGCAGAATAAGAATATTTTAAATGAAAAATTACATGCCGGTTAATAATAATACAGCTGACCTATGTTTAAGGGAGAGAAATTTTAATCATGTGCATATTAAATATTAATAACCTATTCTGTTATTGTTATAATAAGGTTAAGTAGGCTTCTCCAAGCTTAAGGAAAGAGAAGCAGGAATGCATAATGGTGCAAAAAGATACAGAGAAAGGAGACAGACATAAGGAAAATGTGTCAACAATAAACAAGAGGAAATGAGAAAGAAGGAAAAGATGAAGGTGGAAACTAATCTCTATGTGTCATTATGACTGCCAGAGTACTGGCAAAGAAGCAGCATCCTTTTATTTCAATTTTAATCATTTCTGAATTTTAATACCCGGCTCCTTTTGTAATTCTCCTGGCATTCCCCATATGCCTCCATCCCAGCCAAAACACCAGTGTAAATTAAATGGCAGGCAACCACACCACTGATGTAGCCTCCCTAAAGAACCCACCAGGTGACCAAAACAAAAAAGGTATGTCTACCTTAAGTCCCTGAGGACTTCCAGCCAATGAACTGGGTGAATGTTTTCTACTTTCTTTAATTTTGAAAAGAAGGCAGTAGTGAGGTAATCTACAGATAGAAAATCGTTCGAAAAAATAAAGCCAGCCAGTAGTAATACAATAATCAGTGACCATCAGAGCCTGGAAAAATGAGTTTGCTCTCACTGGCACTAAGGAGCATTACATGATTATTTAATTACAGCTCTAATTTTTGTCTCGTGGATGGCAACATATCAACAATTAATAGGGCAAATAGAGGAGACTGTGTTTTTTTAAAGAGACAGAATGTGCATGATAATGTAATAGGTCACACAGCAGTACACCACTTAAGGAAGACTTCTTTTGTGTAACTAAATAGGACTGTTCTTGAAATAGCCCTGCACACATTTTAAAAAGAAAATAAATTGTAAAGCAAAGGATCTTAACTTTTCAAAATGTTTCACATGCAGTACGCTGCACAGCCTTATTGCAACTCTAGCCTTAGTTTTATGGAGTACAGTGAAATCTTCATTAATATAAATGACACCAAATCAAAGAATATTATAAAATAATATAGACAGCTACAATGAAAAATGTCTTTTAATGCAATAATTGTGACCAATATTTACTCACTGGGATACTGGGGGGAAAAAAACCACTGCAGGAAAGAACAGGCAGAGGTCAATCAGCCCTGGGCCACTAGCCCATAGTATTTTTGGTCCTGGAATATGAAAAAGACCACTGCATGGCAGTGCCAAGAATTCAGGGGCGTGCTCTACGTTGACTCCAGTATGGTTCGTTACCAGAGCCAAACACCAAAGAATCATGAATCTTCATAGAGATAGTTAACCTAAACCTGAAGGTCAGACAATGACAGTAAAACAGAGACCCTGGAGCTACTCTCAAAAAAAAAAAAAAAAAAAGAGCATGTAGTTAAATGGAGAAAAACATCATGTTATCCATAAAACAGGGGCATGTGTAGATTAAGTATTCAGATAACCTCAATAAAAAATAGAAAATTAGAAAGAAAAGTCTCTTTTGCCAATAAATCTTTATCAGTACAAACCACATTCAATATTTTACCATTAATTTAGCAATTCTTTAATGAGTATCGACTATGTGCAAGGCATAGAATGCTAATTGTGTAGTGTCTCCTATTTTATATAATACAAATATGTACCTTACACATTTGCCCTTTTGTAGTTAAGTACCTTGCAGAAACAAATAATGGTATCACCTACAAACTTCATAAAGTAGAAATACTAGTGCATTTTTATGCACATATTACAAGGTTATAAGTCAACAAATTCCAATTAGCCAAGGGAATCACCCAATTTGATAGAATTTTCTAAGTAGGGCTTAGTCCCAGCTTTAAACTCCTCTGGTTCCATTTCCCCGCTGTTTTGCCTAGCTAGAAGCCACTGTGAAAATCGAGGTTTGAGAGTTGGACAATGAAACATTCTTAGAGCTGCCACTGTGATCAAATGCTCAAATGTATTTTAAATAATTGGTTATATTGAATTCTAGGAAAACAATTTGGCTAAAGATGTCTCTGTACTTTAACTGACAGGTTTCCACAAAAAGAAGTAGTAAGAGGTGCTAAATCAACTCAATAAGCTTTTAACAGTTTATATTGGCCAAAGCAGTCAAAATCAAGAAAATGTGTGTCTCAAAATACAATATGGGAAACCTAAAACTGCTGAGAGGTAATAATTTCTAATGCCACTAGCGAAATCTCTCATGACAAAATTAATTGCAAAGGAAAAATAAAATACAGGAGAAAAATTTTATAATCCAATGGAAAGTGTTTAAATAGAGCTGTTTTAGTAAAACACCTTTGATGATTCTGGACCAAAAATCTGACTCTATACATTCTAGGAGAATTTTTTTAAAGAGTCTAGCAAGCAGCAGCTTGCATGTAAGAGTATACATCATTCTTTTTTAGCATGATTGCTAATATACAGGTAACATGTCTCAGAAAAGGCTGTAATTAACCGTCTCCTGCTCTAATAACACTAATAAGCATACAGTATTATTAAAATACAATGACTCCATACAAACTAAGGCTGTCATTTTTAAACTTTTAAGATAATGTTCTAAATTGTTTTTGAGTCCTCTTAAACCATCCAAAAGGAAGCCCACCTCTAAGAATTTTGTTTCAAGCATAGTTATTAAAATGCTATTCTCTCCTTCCACAGTCTGGAGAAATCGCTAACATTAAACAACACATCTAAGTATCATGTCAGTTGGTGAAAATACAATAGGAAGCACTTAAATTATTTTATTAACTCTATAGATTCTTTTAAAATTTAAAACTGTAAGTATTTTAAGTTAGGACTCCATATACTGGTACAATGTTTTCTGGGAGAAAGAAAGGCCTGTTATATCAAGAATTACATCGCCCTGTTGTTAATCCCAAATGATTTCCATTGTCTGGTTCACTGGAACAGGAAAACTCAATTGCATTCAACATCAAACAGCTAATTATGGATACACTATATGCAAGACTATCTCCATTTCAAAAGATATCTGCCTACACTAGGTTTCATTTTATTTATTATAATTATTACAATAAAATATTTATAACATAAAACCTCTTTTACCTTAAAGTCCTTAATATTATAAACATTAAAAGGCCAAATTGTCATGTACATGCTCTTAACGGCATATCAGAAACCATTGAGTAAGACTAGAGAGAAATCTCCAGCAATCAACTCTACTACATGCCTGGCTTCCAGGAAAATCGCATCTAAAGAATTCCCCATCACAGAGATTAGGCTACCTTCTCTTTAAACATCTCAAAGAAAGAATGTCTAATAGTTTCCCCCTGGGAGCTTGCTACCGTATTTCACCCCTCAAAAAGGAATGTCCACTGAAGAATTTTTGTTGGTTATCTGATCCCAAATCATCTGCCGCTGAGAAAAAAAGTAATATCCCAACACGGAGACCTCCCCCAAACACTAAAGGTCTATCTTGCACAGTGGCTCTAGCCCCGATTCTCCACATACAATTGACTATAGGAACTTTTCTGGCACTTACCCTCCAAATATCAGAGGTGCTTCTCCAAATCTAGCCCTACCGGAGAGGTCTAAAAAAGTAGTAGCCTCTGCTGAGGTGACAGTGACGAAGTTCTCTCTGGCACTTGCTAGCAAGGCAGAAGCATCCCCAAATGAGGTGGTTACCAGTTGCCCGGGAAGCAGCTGGACCATTACTGCAGTTCTGAGGGTGCGTCACAAATCAGGTCATAGCTCTGGGTTGAGTCCACCCACTTCACCCGGTACACCGCCCTCCACTTCCTGCACACCTGGGGGGAAGGGGTACAGAGGAGGGGGCCGGCTCAGGTCCACAGACAATCGAGTTAAGGTACAACCAGCTGCAGCCTGACATGGGCTTCTTCTGCAAGCATTTCAGCCTCATTTTGGGGACCTGCACCCCTAGGTACTCACAAATGCATACAACAATAAGCTGGCTCTAACATGAGTGATAAATGTAATAAAATATTGCACAGTTAAGTGTTTAAACCAGGAAGATTTTTCCTTCACTGGAAAATGAACCAACTCTTAATTTCTAATTACAAGACACCTCTCTACCAACTGTCAAATAACTGGACTGAATAAATTTCAGCAGAAACCAGGTACCTAAAACTCGGGAGTACCAGTTAACTAATTCTCAGCTCTCCTCATTAGATCACCACCATATAAACAGAATTGCATCCTTGAAAGTCCATTGAAAGAAGTGACTAGAATCTTTTACAAACCCTCAGACAGCAACAACTGTGGAAGTGATACAGTGTAACTTGAAAGAGTAAAAATAGGCCAATATGCTAGAGAATCGCTACACTACTAAATCTCACCCTGAATATATATACACACAATCTGTATCTATTTACTCTCAAATGAAATATCCGATCTTAAAAAAGACTTAAAAAAATAAACAGCAAAAGGTACCGTTGGCATAAGTTCAAAAGTACGAAATAATGTGTGTTAATGTGTTGATCATGCTCTATGAAGACATCAAGTTTAAATAGACTTACCATTGAGAACAGCAGTTAGAAACAATATGTAAATTGCAATAGTAGACACTTTTTCTTGGGTATAGTGAAGAAGAACCTTGTGTAACAGATTTGATTTATATGCTGTATTAAGACCACATTCCACTCTGATGTCAGCAGAATATGTGATTAGAGATTGACAACTGTGCGTAGACAATGACTGTAAGAGCTTCTTAGGTAATTTAAGGGAAAACAAGCATTTTCTCAAGTGAATCTTGAGTTCAGAAATTCAGCTTTATCAGTTTATTGATGCTTCAAGGAGGTCTTCAAAGAGAAAGGACTTTTAATTTAAAAGAAAGCAACAAATGCATTTAGTGCACGTATCAAAAGAAATCAGAAATCTCCCCTATCTTTAAGGACGGCAGATTAATAAGAAGGCAAATAACGGAGAGGGCAAGGGTATTTTCTGAGGAAACCCAAGAGAATTAACCAATCATTGAGCCCTACTTCATTCTCATATGTGCAGGTCTTCATTAGAAACTGTAGCATTCCATCAAAGACTGGGAAAGGAAGATACTTTTTCAAAGTTATTATCTAAGAAATCAAATAGCTTCATCTATTTGGAACTTTGTAGAGAGTTAATTCAGCAAACACACACTTGAATGTGTTTGAACACACGGTATCCTGAGGTTGCTGGAAGATGACTATTTTAAATGGCATGCGGATTCTTTTAGGGTTTGATGTTATAGTTGAGGTATGCAAAGTAAAAGTGCATAACATTTCTTTTCAACTGGTTCGCACACGACAGAAATGAGAAGATAGAATTACACTCCTTTAAAATTTTGCCACTGGAAAATGATCAAAACTCCTCTCGACCCCTACCCCCAGCCAGGAAGAGTCTGAAGGCCTGGATTACAGCACAGGTAGATATTAAAATGGAGACAGAGCCGTTATTTAGTGGTGACAGGAATATAAATACGTGCACTAACCTATAAACTGGTATTTACTTCAGGAAGGTAAGTAATATTTTTCCTCTGATTGCTGAGCTGTCAGTTTAATGCAGCGTAAATAAACAGTAGGTGCCTGCTAGCTCTAAGTAGGAAGTGTTCATTCCACACGAGGAACAGATTACTGAAGCCTGATGCTCATCATGCTGAAACGTAACTTTCATTTTACCAGAAAATATTGTGGATGATTTTTCGTGCCTGATCTATTAATTAACTTAACTCTGTTCTGTCAAAATGTAAACCAATTTGTAAAAATCATCACAGAGTTTTTGGAGTTTGAAAACCAAATCAATTTGAACAGTAAGAGTAATGACTGCTCTGTAATCTGATCACAAATGCTAAAAGTGAATACTTCACATCATCAGCAGAAACTCACAAAACCAAAAAAGACAAAGAACGTATGTAAATAACAGGGTTTAATAATCCGAGTTATCTAATTCACTCCCAATTCTCCTGCTTTACTAATTAAAAGCAACTGGCACCTTTAGTATTTGGCAACCTTGTGCTACTTGGGTCTTTCCAATATGCATGCTAACTGTACTCTCTGAAATATCTAAGGGTAAACCATTCATGAAAATCAAACCACTTTCCCTAATTCCAATGGAAATACTGCCGAACACACCCAGGAGAAGCAGCAAGTTTGAAAATAAAATGATGATACCCTTTCTAACAGCATTCATGTAAAATGTGGCTTGCTTCCTGTGTGTGCCACAAAGCTATGGAGATATACAGCAACTGATTTCCTCCTTAAATATGAGTATCAAGCAAAAAATATTTCATGGCACATTTAAAATGGGAATACATCTCATCTAAACAGTATGAAAGGCAATTTTGGGAGGTTTCTATTTAAAATACGAACAAAAATTCTGGTAATTAATCAATAGATTATAAGAAAAGGAGGTGTTTTAAAATACACTTTTTGACTGCAATATGTCTAGACATAATCTGAAGATTGATTTAGTCACATGCATTTATTTTACATACTTCATCAATTCCAAGTACTAATATAACATAAATTACAGTCATCCAAGACAACATGTATGGAAGAAACGATGTATTTGTGTAAAGGGCATATCTATATATGGCCCTTCTGGAAATTTACAGAGCAGATGAAAAATCACTAGAGTGCTTTAGAGAGTCCCTGCTGTATATCCATGTTGTGTTTAGCTTAATAGTGTTTGTAACCAAAAGATTTTTACAATAATGAGGAACAGGTGCCTGTCACCTGACCTTTTAGGCCTAATTTACAATCCACAACCTGTTACATTAAAAAAAAAGAAAAGAAAAGAAAAGAGCTGAAATTCTCCTCTAGATATCTCAATCTTTGCTAATTTAATGTACTGGAGTTCCTAACCATCACTCAGCATATCCTATCATAGTCAACCACAGGTTCATATGGCTGGCAACAGACTTCTTTGCAGCAATAAACCAAATAATCATTTTGTTGCTGTTCTTGTTTAAGATGCTAGGAGACAAAAGAACTGGTTTTCTAGATTATCAACCAAAGAATATATTAATTTATTACAACAACTGAACAAAAGGCATTCCTTTTGAATACTTTTACATACAAAGAACTATTATTTATTACATATTTCAACTTGTGGGAAAGTGAGGAATGCATTGATTCTGAAAATAACTATTCAGACTTCTGGAAGTTCTTTAAGTCTTATCTATTTCTTCCCTCTCCCACCCCCACAGCACACACATTTTAAGGAGTTTGCACTTTAGGAGGGAAGCCCCTATTCTTTTTTTTATTCATCATCTGTATTTATTATTCTTCAGAAGGGAATACAAAATTGAGTAATGATTTTACTTCTCTTGTATTATCCTGTTACATGTAGCTATATTCAAATTTAACAATGCTTTGGATTTTATAGCTACTGCTTACATATTATGTACTACATATGACTGAACAACTCTACATTTAAAATACTGTTTCCATTAGAAAAAATATGAAGTAATAAGTGTCAAATGGTGATGAAGAATAAACATTTGGTATATTTATAAAGTGCATAGCTATTTAAAATGTGCACAAGTAGGATACATATTTTGCTACAGTTACATTTTACATGACATGCACATTGTCTAAAGTGTATTTAATAATGAGCTTAACCAAGTTAATTAAAGTATTTACGTCTGGTGATTGTGTTAAACACTTGGTGAGGTAGTGAAAGATACAGCCAGTTACTTCTGCTAACTAAAGTTGAAATTATGCACTTATTATAACCTTTCCTAACAATGTGAGAAAAACAGAGTAAATATATTAAATTTGTTTCACAACAGATGCTTAGGTTGTTAATATTTAAGATGCCTATTCATGCTATTCCTGTCTGCACATTTGTCAAAAATGTAAGCTTGAATGCTAATGTTTGCCAGCAGACTGGAGCAGCCAGTATATGAATGTACTACTGTTCCACTAAAATAATACGCAATAGAAATAAAGGACGGCTGCTAAACCATCACACTAATACCACGTAGGGGACTGCAGGTTTTCAAAGCAAATACTTGCAACCTTGGCTTTCTCCAGAGTTAAAGTGCGGGGCCTATTTATTTATTTATCTAGCAGCTACATTTGAATATAGAATAAACCTCACATTCCTGACATCTCGGAAAAATCCACCTTAGATAGGGTGTCGACGTCAGTTAAGTTTGAACGGGACGAGTTACTCTGTCCGCAGCACAAACACTGCAGATATCAGGGGCTGCTAAGGACAAAACCCGCTCTTGACTTACTCTCACCCCCCTCCTCTGTCCTCTGGGGAACCTCAGGTCCCGGGCCTCCAAGGATGCAGGCGTGGAAGCCCAGTCAGTCCGGAAAGAAAGGTTCCCTCCCTGCCAGCATCAGATCTTTCTGTCGTCCCTGCTTTTGTTTTTTTAAAGCACTACGTGGAGTTCCAGTCTTAGAGCGTTTGCCAGGAAACCCCGGGCTGTCTTGGAGAAAGTTCTCCGAGGACGGGCGCCGGGGTCAAAGTGGCCAACCGGAGCACTCTGCGACAGGACCCCGTGGCTGACGCTCGGAAGGGAGATGTGCGACGCCCCGGTTGGAGGCCGGAGCCAGAACCTCCAACCCGAGTGCCACGCACTTCGGCCCTCTCCGTCTTCTAGGGTCACCTCGGGAGGGTCCTGCTCAGCGTCCCCCCTCCCGCGCCCAGCTCCCCGCCTCCCTCCCCCCCTCCCCGCAGCCACGCGCCCCTCCCCGGGCTGGCCACCTGCCTGCTTCTTCCCTCTCCTCGTGGTTTGCCAAGCCCCGGAGTCTCGGCAGGGGAGAGCACCTGGAGGAGGCCGCCGCGCTCAGGTCCTGACCGCAGGAGGGGACCTCGTGGCTGCACCTGTGACGTCCCGATGCCCGCTCCGAGGGCAGCACGCGCCCTGCCTCCTAACCCGCATCCACGCCGCAGCCCCTCCGGGACCGGCCTCGCCGCAGCCAAGCCCGCGAGGGCTCGAGGCGCGGAGTGCTGCAGCTTTCCAACTCCCGGCCCCGACGCGAGCGCCCAGGCGCCCGAGCGGCTCCCAGGATGGAGAAGTTGCCACAAACTTCCCAGGCCCCTCGCCTCCGCCGCTCGCGGCCAGCCGCGCCAGCGGGCGCAGAGGAGGCGGGGATGGACCGGCCAGGGATGCTGCACGGGCCGGCGGGCCGGCGGGGGCACATTTCCTCTCCCCAGCCCGCCCAGTCCGGGGCGCGCGGAGAGCCTGCCCCTTTCCCCGTCCGCGTCCTCTGGTCTCCTCCGTGCCCGGTTTCTCTTCTGGCAGGGGCTGGACCGATGACCTGAAGGGAGTTTGCCGGGCAGGTGTGTGCGCGTGTCCACACCTCGGGAGAGGGCGAACGGCGGCGGCGGCCAGTGCCCAGCCCGCCGCTCTCCCTCCCGGGAAGGCGCACCCCTCCGGGGGCTCGCGAGCCCCCGGGCCCCGGCGGCCGCCCGCGAGCGCTGAGCCGAGCCGCGGGGCGCGGGGCGCGGGGCGCGGGGGTGGGTGTTGCAGAGAAGTTTGGGTCGATCCCGGAAAAAGAGGCAGGCACGGCCGTGAAAGAGCAGGAGCAGCGGGGAAAAGAGGCAAAGGAACAGAACTCACTCAGGCATGGGTGCTGGGGGCGGCGGTGGCGTCGAGTGCGGCCGAGAGCAGGCACGGCTCCGGGCGGGCGCGCCCGCGTCCGACTCCGAGGCGGCGGCTCTGCCTCCCCAGCCGCCGCCGCCGCCGAGCTGCGGCTGCCGCGGAAGTTAATCGCAACTTGACTTCAAGTTGCCTTCTTTTCCCCCTCCGAAGTGGGCGTTTAAAGGGTAGAGCGAGACGAGGAGCGAGGAGCGAGCGAGCGCGCGGGGCCGAGGGAAGGAAGAGCAGGGGGGGGAGGGAGGAGATGTTAACGGGGGAGGGGGAGGGGGAGGGGGAGGGGGCGGCGGGGGCGGGCGGGGGAAGGGGCCGGCGGGAGCCGCGCTCGGCTGGGCGGTCGCCGCGCCCGCAGTCTGCAGGCGCAGCGCCGCGGCCGGGCGCCCCCGCGGGAGGCCACAGCCACCCGGGCGCGCATCCAGTCGCCGCGCCTCGGCCGGCTCGCTGCGCCCGGGGGCTCGGCGGACCCCGCGTCGCCGCTTCGGAGCTGGCGCGGCGCGGGCGGCCCGGCGGGGCGGCCGGCCGGGGCCCGGCCCGCCTCCCCAGCACCCGCCCCGGTTTCTCCCCCTGGCGGCGGGAGCCTCCGCGGCCGCTGGCAGCCCTGGGCGCACGGGAGCCCGAGCTGAGCCGAGCCCGAGCCGCCGCCGCCGCCGCCGCCGCCGCTGCTGCCGCCGCCGCGCGCGCCGCTCCCGGGCCCCCTCCCAGCGCGCCGGCCGGGGTGGGGGCGGGGGCTGGAGGGCCCGGGGTGGGCGAGGGGCACGCGCCGGGGTTAGCGGCGAAGAACGGACCCTGGGCCGCTAGGGGTAAGTGTGGGCGCTCGGGGGTGCGCGGCACGATTCCCGACGCCCGCCACCCCTGCCCCCTCACCTCTCCGGGCCCCACCACGCGCACCCCTCCTCTGCCGCCTGCGGCTTCCTCTTGTTGTTCGTTGTTTGGCTGGGCTTTTGGGGAGGGTACTGAGAGGGGGTGTCAGCGGTGTAGGTACCGATGGAGGAGGAAGTCAGGTGCGAGGCCCCGATGCGCCCCCCTCCCAGCCTGCGTGGGGTGCATCGCTCCCCACTAGGGGCATGTGGGCCAATTTTTTTTTTTCCCGTCAGTGTTCGGTCGAGATCTTTCCTAGAGGGTCGCTTTCCCTCTCAGCCTGGCCCGTCCGTCTCTCTTCATCCCACCCCCGTCCCACTCAGCACCCCCACCCCCATCTTGGAGGGCTGCACCCCAACTGAGCGGCGCTTGGTGGTAGAACAGAGGGGCTCGCTTGCCGACCCCAGCGGTGTGCCCCAGCCCATTTGTTTCAATATTCCTCCTTATGTCAGCGGCTGCACTTTTGAGCCCACTGGAATGAGAACGCCTAAGCTGAGGTTCGAGTCCCCCCAAAAGCTGGGGGCAAAGAGGGAGGAAGAGATGAGGATTTCCTGGACAGGGGGCTAAGGAGAGGAGAGGAGAGGGAACCTTTCGAGAGCGGGGCGGAAACTCCACAGACCTCTGCTCCACCAGGGTGCGGGTGCCTGGAGGCTCCAGTCCCCAGGCTAAGGATAAACTGGAACTCCATCAACTTTTCCCTCCTTGCCCTGCCATTCCTGCCCCCAGCTGTAAGGCAGCTAACAGGTCTTTTGTGCGTGTCGCCTTTGGGAAATTTGCATTGAGTATGACAACAGAACATTACTACTGTTTACCTAAAGTTAAGGGGAAGCAGACTCTACTTCTTCCCTTCGTGCAAGTGTGTCTGGCGAGAAATGGAGTTGTGATTCCTGATAAGCACTGCAGAGCGGCAGGGTGTAACAATAAAGACTGTAGAGCTGCCTGGCTGTATTTTTGGAAGCTGCACTTTCTTCAGTTCCTTTCGCACAGGCTTGCTCGCTCATTAAGTCCCCATAAATAATTGTATTTAGAGAGAGAGAGAGAAACTATGGAAGCAGGAGGAAGATTGCTAAAGATTTCCATGCTGCCAGCACAGAGCACTGTTCACAGGGAAGTTCCTGGAAAGAGTGGGCTGAGAATCCAGCGCTTCCTAAAAGCTCTGCCAGGTCCTGCTCCTCTCAGATGCCTATGAATAAAGCACGCTGGGAAAATCCTGAGATCCATGCAGTCTTATTTTATCTTTTACACAGGGGTTGGTTCCACTTTCAAGCCCTAGTAGGAATGCATCCACTGTGCTGTAATTTTGTGTGTTTTTCTAAATAACGGAGAAAACTCATGTATTCATACTGCTTTCTGATATCCCCCCTTTTTTTCCCCTGTCAATGGATATTGAATTCATTGGAATTGGAATTTATCCAGAAGACAGACCCTTTTGCCTCAATTTACCAAAATGCTGAGTTGCCTAACAAGTAGCAAAAATACTTGAAAGACAATCAGGTTTGGAAAAAATATATTCTAAATCTTTAATTAATGCTTAGTAGTACTTTCTTGTATTATGCACCAGATTCGCCAGTTCTGAAAGCCTGCAAATGGAGCTTAACAGAAATTTGAAGTTTTTAATAAAGGATTGTTTTTTTTAGTCTTAACACTTGCTCAAATCATCAGCTAAGCCTCTTGAATTTAAGGGGTGATCTGCTCCTCTGAGTTAAACCTAGAAAACATTTTGCCCACCAGCTTTGGAATTTTAGTCTAGTACTGTAAGCTCGTAAACTATTATTACAACACAGGATTATGTAATTCTAGGTATAGTGCATTAAATACCACAGTTTGATAAACTCTTATAGACACCTTACTCTCTAATACATAGTAGTGATTCATTAAATAATGACCGAATTAAGATGTTAATCAGATATTAAGACTGGCTACAAATTCAATAGCAGAAGGCCAATGGCCTTTTGCAGAAGCGCAGGGCATTTTGCCTGAAAGTTTCTAGGTTGATTGCTACAGTTGTTGAAACTTCTTACCCAAAGTAATGCTAGTACGTGGTGGGAGTTTGGGAGGGGATCAAGTCACACAGGCTCCGCCCTCATGAATGGGATTAAATCTCTTACAAAATAGGCTCACTCGAGCACCCTTGTCCCTTCTGCCATGGGAGGACTCAGCGGCTGGTGCTATCCATGAAGCAAGGAGGGAACTTCCACCCAACATTGAATCTCCTGGCACCTTGATTTGGCACTTCCCAGCCTCCAGAGCTGTGAGCACTAGATTTCTATTGTTTATCAATCACCTAGCCGAAGGTATTCTGTTGTAGCAGCCGAAGAAGACCAAGACAGTATACAGTTGTGCTACTAAATCTTTTAGCAAATCCAACTCCAACTTAAATGGTTAAAAAGCAACTAAATCTGAAACGTCGAGTGGTCTATATGGTAGCTGGTATCAAAAGCTACACAAATCACTTCCCCAGGAGAATAAACAATAAAACATTGCCTACCCCAGAGTATGAGAGAGATGCAAGAAGGCTGGAACAGCATTGGCCGTCAAGGAACGTCAGCTGGAAACATGACATTGAAATGTGGAGAGATGACTCCTGGATCAGTCAGTGGCTAGAGTCAAAGGAAAGCTTGTGAAAATAGTTTTTTGTTTTTGTTTTTGTTTTTTTTCTTTTTAGACTATAGGAAGGAGAGATCCTAAAGCTCTGGGTTTATTTGTCCTATCAAATTTTAGGGACCATTCAATACAGATATCTTAGGTGGAGCAGAACTCACCACTTTCCCCATGGATGGGATTTTAGCTACAGATTGCTTACCATAACTGCTGAATCAGTTCATTCCGTCTTTCTACACTTTGTTATATATTTTTGTGTGTTGCACAGAAGTCATCTTCCTGAAACTTTCAACCATTAGTCTGCCATTTGCAACAAAACAGAGCAAATCTATTGTAAAAATCAGAATAGGTCATGTTATGCTAGAATAACAAATAATTCTATTATTTCCAATACTTAGGGGATTTTTTTTTTTTTTTTTTTGTTGCACTGTGGGTCTGCTGCAGATCAACTGGTTCCAGGCTAATGAACAGTCACTATCTTAAGTGTTACATGTTGCTATGGCAAAATTGAAGATCACTGTAACAAGTTCATGCTGGCATTTAAGTGCTATAGCCCAGAAATGGCATATATCATTGGCCTCACAAGTAATGAACCAGGATTAGTTGCCTGGCTCCATATAATCCCATGGTGGCCAACTTGTGCTACTTACCTTGTGCCCAAGAGGAAAGAGCTGTGGTGTGGCTCTCCAAGGCCTACCGTAGTGTTAGGAATTCAGGTTCATGGGGTAGCCTGCTGGCTAAACAATCCCTTCCTGCCCCTGTGTAGCCCAAGTCTTACATTATTTGGGGTAAATACTGCCAGAGTGGCCATCAGCTCCTAGGGAGAAGTGCTGTGACTTGTTTTACTCCCAGCCCTCTCCAAAGCGTGCATCCTATCAAGTGTCTTTTTTACTGACTAATACTGTATGTATTTTATTTTCTTAAGACCTGTTTTCCTGGCAAGGGTACAATGAAAAGGAACTTTTAACAGCTGTTATCCGAAAAGGTTATGATCATTAAAAAATTCAAAACTTGGGGGCAGACACTGTGGTCAGGCAGTTAAACTGTCACTTGGGACACACACATAACAGAGTGGTGATTCAAGCCCCAGCTATTCCACACTTCTGATCAGCTTCCTGCTAATCTGCCTGAGAGGCAGCAGGTAATAGCCCAAGTCCTTGGGTTAATGCCACTCTCATGGAAATCCTGGATGGAGCACTAGTTGCCTGGCTTCCACCTTGCCTAGCCCTGGCTGTGTCAGAGATTTCTGGGGAGTGAACCAGTCAATGGAAGATATCCTCTCCCACTTATTCTCTCCCTCTCACTGTGTCACTTTGCCTTTCAAATCAATCAATCAATCTTTAAACAAAAATTCACACTTTTTTTGTGAATGGTCCTGAGTAGTTAGTTCCCTTACTGTAAAGATCAAATGCTTTGTGTAATTGTGTAACCAATAAACAATTCTTGTGGAAGTGCTCGTTAATTCATTCACTTACTCTACTTTTTGTTCATTCAATAAATATTCATTGCATACCTAATAGATGCCAGGAACTTTATTAAGGGCTGGGGGTACAGAGATGATTAAGAGTTCTCTTCTTCAAAAAGCACATTTTCCAATTGGGCAAACAGACATAAAAATCCATTACAATGCTAATAGAGGCACAAAGTGTTAGGAGAACACTTAGGAAGAAGCAAATAACTAGCTGGCAGGATTCAGAAGTTCCATAGAGGAATTGCTACTTGAACTAGGTTTTGAAGATAAATGACACTTCTCTGGGCAGAAATGGATGATGTAGGCTACTCCAAGCAGGGAGACCAGCATGGGCAGAGACTCTGAGGAAGACAGAGTGAGTTGTTTAGGGATAAAGAAGGAATTCAGTGAGATTATAACATGGAGTCTCTATAAAAGCTGAAATCAAACAGCTCCAACTTGTAAAGGACCTTGCAGACGTTCTCTGGAGTTTGGACATTGGCCTGCATATCAGAGCTTGTAAACCGTTAGATCTGAATGGTCGAAGCATGCATGTAAGGTGAGCAAAGCGGATCAAGGTAAGCCCATGAGCAGTAGTGGAGGCCGTGACCATGAGAAGAACCTATCCTCTGTCTAAATGGGGATAGTAAGTGTCAATGATGAAATGTCATGGAGCTGGCACTGTGGCATATCAGGTTAAAGCCCCAGCTTGGCAGTGCTGGCATCCCATATGGGCACTGGTTTGAGTCCCGGCTGCTCCTCTTCTGATCCAGCTCTCTGCTGTGGTCTGGGAAAGCAGTGGAAGATGGCCCAAGTCCCCTGCACTCGCATGGGAGACCCGGAAGAAGCTCCTGGCTCCTGGCTTTGGATCAGCTCAGCTTTGGCTGTTGC